CATTTGTGAAATCCAATTTAAAAGTGATGTATGTATATTCTTCAGAGTTAACAAAGTAGGATTTATTACTGCATTCAAGACCTGGGGGGAGTATTTCACAATACAAATTCATAAACACATGCATCCAAAATAGGAAGAAAGGTGAAGGCAGTGGAAAGAAGTTCAAATGACAAGATACTTTAATTTAAATGAATTAATGTTTAATTTTGAAAGACCAGTGAGTCGGTGTTCGTTTGAGTTCCTTCAGTTGGCTGAGCATAGAATTCTGTTTTGTCGGAGCTCCCACACAGTTGAATTCATGATGAAGATACAGTAGTTGTAAGCTGGGAATTGGTTCACTTTCAAGGCGAGCCAAATGGATCAGATTTGAGAGAGATTAAGAATAGAGGCAGGCATTTAGCTAATTCTGGAGTTGCTTACCCTTTGAGTGTTATGACAGAATGAACAAATAAACATCAAAGCTGTAAAGTAAAAGTTGATTCAAACAAACCCGTAGTTTTAGTCGTGACTGGGACTTTGAACAGAGATGCTTCATTATTGAGGTAGAAATTGATGTTCTGGCCAAAAACCATTGCATTTTGGGGTTTGTGGAGCAATTTACCAGGCCAAGCCATAATGGGTTTTGAGGGTCTCCTTTGTTCAGAACAAGCTGAGGTAGACATCTTTTCTGCTAGTCCTTTGTGATAGCTTGGCTGAAACATTCATCAATGTGAGGAGTGTCATATTCCAGGAAGAATATATGTGTTTTTGTCCTCTGGTTACTGCTGGTCAGAAATTGGCAGAAACGGTCGTCAACTGGTAACATGTGATTAGTGGCATCATGTTGTAAGCCCAGCAAAGTATTCATTCTTTAAAAGAAATTTAAACAAGAGAACATAGTTCAGAACAAAACAATTTAGGATCTTTCTCTTCCTGTTCACTAATCATTAAATTTCTTTAACCAGAGAATCATACAAAAGAAGTTGGATTCTATTTCATACAGGCAGACATGACTTTCTTCTCTCCCTCTGGGCTCCATCTCCATCAATCTGTTTGCTCCTTTCCCCCAACCCACCCCTGTTATCAAGATAAATACCATTTTTTTCTGGATGCTATCAGTTCTGAAGAAGGATTCGAAACATTATCTCCACACATGGCCAGATCTGCTGAGTTTTTCCAGCAATTTGTTTTTTTTTCATATTTCCAGCATCTGCAGTTCTTTGTTTTATTCAAATGTCAGTTACCTGCTGCATGGTAAGAGTTTACACCTGTAACAGGCATTCTAGATGTCATGGGGACTTCTCAGTACCCTTTATGTCCAGAAAATAAAGGTCAATTTTGGAGTAGACCTAGTGACCCACCTTGTCTATACTCTCCTCAATACATGGATTAGGAATGGAGTGTGTCCTGGTTATGGCATTTACTTCCCAAACAGCATTGTGGCACCATGTTAAGTTACCTTGGTTTGGAAGCGTCCAGGTGCTGAGGAGCTCAGCTATTTTGGGGTCCAGTAAGGGCTTGATTTCCTGCCTGATCTAAGCTAGCTTGTTTGAGCTCAGCTGGTAGGCATTTTGATACGTTAGTGGGGATCTATCTCATTCATACCATGGACTGTTAGTGTGGTATATCTCAGCTAATCCATGTGGATTTCCTTCAACTTCCCAAGCAGCACAGCCACATCCTCCGACTGCTCTTGGTCAAAGGTGCTAACTGGGCATTTAAGGTTACATTGCATGCCAACCTTGCACCTGAGGGTTCAACTGGGGAAGTTTCCTGTCCCCCCTCCTCATCTGACCCCATCCTGGCCACCACCAGATTTGTCCACCCTCTGGTAGGCAATCACTGGTTGACTGGGCTTTGGTTTAACTCTGTTTTAACTGCACTTAACTCCACTTGTCAAGTGCAGTGGAGCTTTAGGGTTACTGACTTTTATGGATTTGTTACCTTGAGCAAGGGTTGGTACCCAACCTGTCCCATTTCATTTGGGACTCTACTGCCCTTAGATGACTGTCCAGCTCTTGCTATACTGCCCTGCAGGTCCTCAACTCGGTAGGCCATCTCCCTCACTATTTGCCCGTCTTTTTGAACCTTCTTTGTTCTCAAAGGTCACAGAAACAGTATTGTCCAAGCTGACCTCCTGTCTATGCAGCAGGATTGTGAGCATCTCTCCATTTAAATTTTCCTCTTGGCCCTTGCTGCATTCTTTATCCTTCCCATATCTCAAGGGATACTATTGCTCACAGAGTAGTACTAGCTTGGCTGCAGTGCCCCACAGCCCTTCAACATGGTGAGCTTCCTTACTACCTCTGAGAGACTAGGAACTTCTCAGATTTGTCTGCAAATTTGAGGGCAGGTTTGGGTAGCCACATCTCTCGCTGACCAAGCAGGGGTGCAAGCTTCCTGTTGTCTATATCTGTTTCCTTATCAACTGTCAGTCTCTTCAGTAGCTTTCCTATTATCCCTGTTCTAAAATTGAAAATAATGTTTCAACTAGCCATCCTCCTAATCAAGCATAGGTACAGGCTCCCTGCCTTTTAAATTGAAGTACTGTAGCTTTTTCACCTGCTGTGGGATTGTTTGGAAACTTCTTTGGTCTCCCAGGAAATGTGAAAAGAGCATTTCAAATAGCCAGATGCCTTACTCATCCAAAAGGGGTACAAGCTCCCTTTATAAACTTGCCAGCTATGTCTGGGAAATTTCATTGCCTCTATTTATCCCTGGGCAAAAGGAAATCACTGGGTATACTTTGGTTGCGTCTCCTTTGATCCTAGCTTTTTTGCTTTCCCTGGTTCCTCTACTAAGTTCTGCATCCCAATGGGTGCTTGGGAATTAGCAACAGCAACCACAGAGAAAGCTAGAGAAACTCAGCAAGTCTGGCAGCATCTGTCGAGAGAGAAACAGAGTTAATGTTTCAAGTCTGTTATGACACTCTTTTTCAGAACTTCTAAAGACTCAAACCATTACCTCTGTTTCGCTCTCCACAGATATTGCTAGACCTCATGGGTTTTTCCAGCATCCTGTGTTTGTTTGAGATTTCTAGCATCTGCAGTTTTTGCCTTTATTAGTTAGCAACAGCACTTGACTTGCTTTTAAAATGAGTTCCCCAAATTGGTTACAGGGCAATTGTGCTAGTATCTATTCTGTCCCACCAGGACTTCCTGGCCCACATGGGGCTAGCTAGTTGTCAGTTCAGGATCTTCACGAAAGCAGTCGGTGGTCTGGACAGTAATTACTCTGAGTTGTCCATCCAGCTTGGTTGGTGGGCTGGAGCATGGTCATTCCTTGATGTAAGTAGAATGAATGTCTTGGGTGGTTAACAGAGGACACTGGTAAGAAGGTGGGGCGATTCAATCTTGGGAATTGTAGGTAACAGCCTGGAATAAAGAGGGTACAAGGACAGTGAAGGGTGTAACTTGACTACATAGGGCGGATGATCGTTGCCTCAACTGGGGAACTGTGCAGCATGATGGTGGGCATCACCAAAACTGTAGCGACTGCACTTTGAATGAAGAAGAATGTTGGAGTCTCTCGAGGTGGAGGACGGGAACTTGTGGCTGTTTAGTACTGATAGGCTGTTCAAGGCGAGCTAGGTATGAAGGGATGTGCAGGTGTTGGGGAGGGACCTGAAGACTTTTTCCTACCTTCTATCTATTGCATAAAACCACAATTTTCCAGCTCTTTTCATTCTGAAGAAGAATCACATTGGACTCAAAACGTTAACTCTGTTTTTCTCCCCACGGATGCTGCAAAACCTGCTGAGCTTCTCCAGCACTTTCTGTTTTTACTGGATAAGAATCTTTGAGAACTGTCTGTTGTGACTGAATTTTTGTTAATAGCCTTGGAGTCCAAGAGCTTTTAACGTAATAATCCATTCTATGGTCTTGAAGCAAAAACACACTAGCTAGTATTATCCTTAAAAATCAACAACATCGTAAGTGCACTTTTGGGATAATTATTTTCAGATATGTAAATCTCGGACAAATATTAGACATCTGTACTCCATGGAGCTTAGAAAATGAGGGGGGATCTGTTTGACACTTACGAAATACTGAAGAGGTCTGGATAGAGTGGATGTAAAGATGATGTTTTCACTAGTAGGAGAGTTTAGGACCCAAGTGCACAGCCTCGGAATGAAGGCATGCCCCTTTAGAACTGAAATGAAGAGGCATTTCTTCTGCCAGAGTGTGGTTAATCTGTAGAACTTATTGCCTCAGAGGGCTGTGAAGGCCAAGTAATTTAATGTATTTAAGGAAGAGATAGGTTTTTGATTGGTAAGGTAATCAAGGGTTATTGGGAGAAGGTGGGAGAAAAGGACAAATCAGTCCTGATCAAACGGCGGAGCATACTCAATGGGCTGAATGGTTAATTCTGATCCTATATCTTTTGGTCTTGTATAGCAATTTTCACAACCACTGGATGTCTCAACATACTTGTATAGTCAATAAAGCACTTTCGAAGTATGCCCAATATTATGCTGTAGGAAATGCAGCAACCAGTTTGCACACAGCAAAATATTGGCTAGGATGCTGAGATAATTGCTGTCTTCTTCAAAATATTGGTGTAGGATCATTTACATCCACCTACTCAAGCAGTTTAAAGTCTCATTGAAAGGTAATACTTCTTGACAGAGTAGTATTTGTTCATACTGCACTGGTGTGCCAGCCTTGATTTGAGTGCTCATTCGTCAGGTTGAACTTGAACTCAGAAACTGATGTCTTAAAGGTGTTTAGTGACCTGCTGAGCTACAGCTGACAATAGGACATATGGATGCCTCCAAAGTCTTGAAAGTGAAAAATTAAGTTCAAGAAAATTTGCAACGTGTGATTTAACTAATATTCCACTTTGACAAATGCAAGGATATCTTAATTGTATTGAGTTTATGGAATTGGAAGTTGTTGAATGCTTGAACTGTGGGGGTATTTCCAGGAAAGCTGATGGAGTAACAAATAATGCATTCTATTTAAAAATAATAGATAAGGAAATTTTCTTGTTTGGTCATTGTGTTGATATCTTATTGGCAGAGTTGTTGCAACAACTTCAGCAACAGTTAGTAGAAACAGAGAGAAAAGCAGCAACATACATGAAGAGGTACAGAAAGATGCAAGAGGATTACCACAGCTTGATTGGAGTCACTGCAGAACTTGTAGATTCTTTGGAAGCTACAGTAAATGGTAAAATGGTAAGACTCTTGCTTATTCCTTCTTCACCATTCCTGGGTAAGTGCTACCCACCGGCAGGAAAGACTCACTACAGGTGACAGCACATTGGTATGCAGTTGGGAGGGAGTGACTCTGAGTCCTCAGTGTCGACTCTGGAGCTTCATGACGTCTTATGGCATCAGGTCAAACATGGGCAAGGAACTCTCATGCTGATGACCACCTACTATACTCCCTCGATTGTTGAATACAACTTGGAAAAAGCACTGAAGTTCTTTGACTACAGTACATTCTATGTCCATCACCAAAAGAAGTCCAGTAGCACCAAATAGGATGAGAAACAAATATTGTCTAAGCTGGTCATGACCTGAAGGACTGAGGTAGCATACTAACTTGAAGTAACGAGAGAACTAACACAAGGGTCCACTCCAAACTATCTGTCAAAAATTCCATCTGTCAGTTACAGTACTGGTACATATGACAGTCACACAGAGGTCCACCAGTTGCCCTGTATTGTGTTGTGTAGCATTATCACTGTGCTAAAGGGGGATGGATTCAGATCCAGTTTAGCAGGTCAGCATTGGCAACCAGAAAGAGTTTTGAATCATCAGGAGCAGAATTGCATTCAAACACAATCACAACCTGTTAAATACTTCACTCCGCAATTCCCAGCATGTCAGTCAATTAAACCTGGTTCAATGAATATTGTAGAGAGCAGCAGACATACCCAAAAATGAAATGCCAACCTGGTGAAAATACAACAGAGAACTACATACATGCTAAACAACAAAAGCAACCTGCATGAGATAGAACTAAGCACGACCAGTGGGTCAGAGCAAAGTCTGCAGTCCTACAATGGTGGGCAAACAGTTAAAGGGAGGAAGAGGCTCCATGAACATGCCCATTCACAATTTTAGTGCAACCAAATGCAAGTGTACAAGACAAACTGAAACCAGTACAGCTGAGTCATAATACATCTTTTACCTCCTGAGCATTTATTTCTAATGCCAATTTAAGAGAATGTCTTAGCATGCAGTATACAGCAGCAGCAAGCAGCTCATCAGCCAGTCACATTAAAATGCTCACACATAGTGCACTTTGTTGTCTTTTCTGATATTACTGGATTTAAAAGATAAAATAGCAATGAACAATTTTTTAAAACAATCTATTTGTTTTAAATTGATATCATAAACATAAAACGAGTTCCTCAGGGCCAGGGAGGGTGATAAGCAGTAACTCTGAAGTTATAACATCATTAAAAACCAAGTCACACTTAATTCAACCAGGTGCAAATTTTTCAAGGCTTTTTGCACAAAGACTATAGCGTTAGGGTGAAAGTTCTCATCAGTTCATAAAATTTTTTATTGATTACATTTTAATTGCGGAGATGCTTCACTAGTTGCTTATGGGAGCACAAATGGAATTGAATGGAATATCATAGTTTAGAAAGCTGAAGCAGTAATGCAAATAGCCGTGAAGTAGTTTGTGGAGAAACAGAAAAAGGAAATTCAATTCATCCCCGGGGGAAAAATAGTCTGAGGTTCACTGCTACATGATAGGGTTATCACAGCATGAAGATGGTAACAGGAAAGTTGTACTTTTGATATTCTCAGGCATCAACTGCAGAAAAGTGAATAGTTCAGAATGGCTGATAGATAATGCTGTCTGTAATTTCAATATGCTAGTGTAAAAATGTGAAAAACACTGTAAGCCCTATAGAAAGCTAGCATAATAAAGAGTTTTCACTCTGAGTTGGAAGTCAGCGGGCTGGCAACTTCTTGCTACTGGCAAGCACGTAGGTTGAAATAACTGTACAGAGGCAGGGATACCATCACCAAGTCACCCTTTATTTACTTGGTCACAGTCCATTGGCTGTGACCAGCCAGCTTGGAGTCAGTCCTCTGAACCGAGGAGATTCTGAATCCCCTGTTTATATATTTTTTGTTTTTTGTTTTTCCCTAGACCAAGTCACATTTTATTTACGTATTGGTCAGTCAGGGCATCCTGATTGGCCCAGGTTTACAACCCCAATCAAGGATCTCATTGTCAACAAGATCCACCTGGTTCCAATCACTGCATAGGCCTAACCGTATCTTCCTGCCTCTGGCCTGTTATTATTAAAGCAGCTTCTTGGGGGTGATAGCTACCATCTGCCAAAGATGGGTTACTAATTAACTAATTAAAATGCTAATTGAGGATACTATTGAAGTACCTTCTGGATTTTATAGATACCATATGTGCCTCCACAGTCTGGCTGAGACCTACAGATTGATGGCCTCCCAGTAGCAAGGTACATTGCCAGAGATGCAACTTGCAAAGCAGTCCAGCATAGATGCATCGTGGCCACAGGGTCACTGTTGCCAGGCAGTTTGGTATTATTTGCAAATGAGGTGACTCCTTGATTCCACCCACAACAGCAGCGACCACCTGTTTTTAAGGAGTGGCTGCCTACCTGGAACCTCAGGCATTCCCATTGGCCACCACTATGCAGAGCTTTCGGCATTGGATAGGACTCCTTTTGGGGGGAGTGCTCTTAATTTTCCACCATCTCAGAAATCTTCTTCAGCCTCTCATCATGGCCACACCCAGATTTCCAACTAGAATTCAGCACGCTACTGGGATCAGGAATCTGGGTTTAAATGTAGCCCTTTAAATAACTCTTCAGAGAAAAGGAGAGATCAGACCATTTACTCAAATTGAACAATGGGACTTTTGAATTTGATGAATTAGAGGACCACAGCTCCGTGTCAGTCAGTCAAGTTGAGGGCAGCAAGGATTAGGATATCAGCAACAAAATTTACAATGAGTTGGAATTCCTAAGAGATTAACTTATTTTATTAAGTGAAGGAATTCTTCCACAAATTACTTTTAAATTGTTGAATTGTAGCCCAAGCCTAGAATAATGTGGTCAGATTACATCTAGTATGTATGGCGTCACCTCTAAAATTAATTAGACTATAAGACATAGCATCAGAAGTAGGCCATTCACCCCATTGAGTCTGCTCTGCCATTCAGTTAGACCATAACCTGATAATCCTCAACTCCACTTTCTGCTTTCTCCCCATAATCCTTGATTCCCTTACTGATTAAAAACTATCCTGATCTTGAGTATACTTAACAACCTAACTTCAACAGCCTACTGCAGTGAAGACTTCCAATAATTCTCTGCCCTCTACGTGAAGATATTTCTCCTCAACTCTGTCTTAGTGACTCCTTATTGTGAGATTATTCCCTTTTATCCTAGACTCTTCCACTAAGAACAACAACCTTTCTGCATCTATCCTGTCAAGTCCCCTAATAATCTTGTAAATTTCAATAAAGTTGCTTTTCATTCTTCTAAATTCCAAAGAGTACAGGCCCAACACGGTATTCCAGCTGTGTCCTGACTAGTGCTTTCCTACTTTTGTACTCCATTCCCTCTTGAAATAAAGGGCAACATTCCATTTTACCCTCTAAGCTTGGATGCTGTTTTTTTGTGATTCTTGGGTAAGGATTCCTAAATCCTTTTGTAGCTTTGTGTAATGTTTCTCCATTTAAATAATATTCAGCTTCTCTATTCTTCCTGCCAAAGTGCATAACCTCACATTTTCCCATCTGCTAAGTTTGTGCCCAGCCGTGTAACCTGTCTATACCCCTGTGTAGACTCTTGTGTCATCCTCAACACTTGCCTTCCCCATCTATATTTGTGTCATCTGCAAATTTGGTTATAGTACATTCACTTTCCTCATCCAAGTCATTAATGTATATTGTAAATAATTGTGGCCCCAGCCCTGTGGCACATCACTTGGTACAGGTTGCCTGTTGAAAATGCCCCCCTTATCCCAACTCTCTGCTTTCTATTATTTAGCAAATCCTCTTTGCTAATATATCACCTCCAACACCATGAACTCTTATTTTATTAAGTACCTGATGAGTTATACAGCGTCAAATGAATTGATAAAATCCAAATATATTACATCCACTTCTTCTCCTTTGTCGAACCTGTTTGTTACTTCTTCAAAGCATTCAAGTGAATTTATCAGGCATGGTTTCCTCTGAAAGCCAGACTAACTCTGCTTGATCATATTATGTATCTTGAAATGATCAGCTATTTTATTCTTTGGTAATAGATTCTTTAACATTTCCCCAATAATAGATGTTAAGCTAACTGTTTTGTAGTTATTTTTTTTTGTCTTCACTTTTAAAATAATACATTATATTGGCAGTTTTCCAATCATCTGAGACATTTCTAGAATCTGTGGATTCCTGGAAGATTACTACCAGTATATCTGCTATCTCTGTAACTACTTCCTTTTATATCCTAGGATGTGACCCATCAGGTCTAGGAGATCTATCAGGCTTTAGTCCCCAATAGTTTCATTAGTTTTTATTCTGTAGTGATAGTTGTTGTATTTATTACCTCTCTTCCTTTGAATATTTAGCAATTTTGGTTTGCTATTAATGTTTTCTGCTGTGAAGATTGATGCAAAGTGTTTATTCAACTCCTCTGCCATTTTCTGGTTTCTCACTATTATTTCCCTTTTTCATTCTCAAAGGGGCCTGTGTTCACTTTGACTTTTTGTTTCCTTCTTATGTATTTAAATAAGCTCTTGCTGTACCTCTCACTATTACTTGAAACTTAACACTTGGTTTATTTCCTCACTTTTTTGTTATATTTTGTTGGTTGTTAAAACTTTCCCAATCAACTGGCTTCCCGCTAATCTTTACCATGTTGTATGTTTTTTCCTTTAATTTGGCAATTAACTTCTCTCATTAACCATGTTTGGGCTATCCCCTTTCTGAAATCTTCATCACACACTGGAATATGTCTTTGCTGTGAGCCATGAACTGTTTTTTAAACATCTGCCATTGTTTCTCAACAGTCCTTTCCCAGTCCATTCCAGCCAGCTCTGCCATTGTTTCTTTGTAATTACCATTATTTAAACTGAGAACAGTTGTTTCTGATCCACGTTCCTCCCTTGGAAGAACAGGACTGGAGTGTCTCAGAAGCTTACATTCTTTTGCTAGAGGTTTACTATGATTAAAGTATGTAAACCATATTACAATAATGGGCAAAATCATTTCTTCAATTTGTTATATACTATAAGATTGTTAATTAGTACAACTAATGCCCAAAACAAATTGAATGTTTTTGGAATGCTTCATTGATCTAATAAGCTGTCAAATGTTTTTCATACAATTTCTCAATAAGTTTCATTTGAGGATACCTCTTTAATTTCTCAGAAGGTAGATTCTTATTTCGTATAGATCAGTAGAGGATAAATTATTCTCTGTAAGTCAATATGAAAAATATTAGTGATGAATTACCCTTAGCTGATGTCGCAAAACTGTTGATGTTGCAAAACTTTAAGCAATTTATTAAAAAGACCTAAGAACAGGGCAGACCTGCTTGCATCACTGGGACATTGTGATCCCAAAAAAGACCTGAAAAAAGATGGTTACAGCTATAAAACAAAAATGTACAACTTAAATATCACTGAATGATCTTTTTTCAATTTTACTAGATTACACCAGAATATCTTCAGAGTGTCTGTGTGCGACTGTTTAGCAACCAAATGAGACAAAGCGTGGCCCAAAGCATTGACTTCACAAGACCAGGAACTGTAAGTACAAGCCATTGGATTTGTGAATTAAATTTGAGATTTGTATTAATTGTAAGCTGTTTATATAATTATCATTCTAGTTTTGAAGTAATTGGTCTTCACTCTCTGTGCACCCCCACCCCTTCCATGGCATCCTGTGAGCAATTAACAGTGCTGCAAAAATCCGTGTGCTGACAGCTCACAAACTGGCAGATTTTTGAATTAAATTTCAGCAATTACCCAGATGAAATTTGAACAAGATCACTCATTGATCCAAAATAGATTGAATGTGGCAGTTATTTTGAAGTTGTCATTGTTTAATTGTCGGGAAACATTTTGATCCATTTGCACACAGAGATCACACAAAGACCTTTTGAGATACACTATGATATAAGCAGTTAATATTATTCCTCTTTGAGGGACGAACAGTGGTTACTGGGAGCAATCTCCTGCTGCTCTTCACTTAGTACAGTGGGATTTTGTTCATCCATCTGAGAAAGCAGATAAAAAGTGGTCCTTTCAGCTGTGCAGAATTCTCTCGGTGCTGCACTGAAATGTAAGCTTGTTATGTCTACAAGCTCTCATAGAAAGCCTTTGAGTTTTCACAGCATTGGAAAAAGGTCTTCAGCTCATCGTGTGTCTGCCAGTCGTCACATGGCCATCTATTCTGCCTGTGCACCTCGGAACTTTGTGTGTCTCAATCAGATTCTCCCTCATCCTTCTCTGCTCTAAGGACGCCAACTACAGCCTGTCTAGTTCCTCTTCATAGCTGATTCACTCCAGCCAGTCACCATCCTGATGAATCTCTTCTACACTCTGTCTGTTGAAATCACATCCTTCCTATAGTGTGGCAACCAGAACTGCACACACTCCCGCAGCTGTTACTTAAATAATATTATATACAACGCCATCATAACCTCCTTGATCTTGTATTCAATGCCTTCACTAATGATGGCAAGTATCCCATATGCTTTCTTATGTAATTTATCTACATGTCCTGCTGCCTTCAAAGATCTATGGACATACACACTAAAGTCCCTTTGATCCTCTGTACTTCCTAATGCCTTGCCACTTAAAATGTACTCCCTTGTTAGTTCTCCAAATGCGTCACCTTACACTTGTCAGCATTAAATTCCATTTGCTGTTGTTCAGCCCATCTGATGAGCCTGTGTTTGTCATCCTGGAGACTAAAGCTTTCCTGCTCACTGTTTACCACACCACTAACTTTTGTGTCCTCTGTGAACTTACAGATCATCTCTCATGCTGTGTTAAAATAAATTTACTACAATCTATTTATCATTATAAGCATATAATACCTTTGGAGTTCTGACATACGGTGGTTACGTTACTGCATTTGTATTCCAGAGACTAGGACAAATAAATATAGAATATGGTTACTTTCCGCAATGAGAAGTTGATTAATTCATAAATTTATAATTTATAAATAAATTTGAAAACCCTATAATCCAAAGCTGGTGCCAGTCAACATGATTAAGGAGCTGTTGGATTTTTGTTGGCCATAAAAATGTAACTGGTTGTCTAATGTCCTTACTTGATCTCTTCCACGTATGGTTGATTCTTAACTGCTTTCTGATGTTGTCTACGATCCACCAGTTAAGGAAGAGCCTTGAGAGTGTCCTCAATTGACATTTTAATTGGTTGCGGGGGAAAGGAGTGAGAGATGGGCCATTTTTGAACTTTTCTTTTCCTTTTATCTTCCCCAACACCTTTTAACATTGAAACACCCCTGACCATCCTGACTGGTTCATCTTTTAAGATCCAGTTTGGCCATTCGATCCGATGAGTCTATACCAGCCCTCTGAAAAGAATCCCACCCAGACCCACATCCCCATGCTATCCCAATAACCCCGCATTAACTAAGGCTAACCCACCTAGCATACACATCCCTGGAAACCTCGGGGCAATTTAGCATGGCCAGTCCACTTAACCTGCGCGTCTTTGGAATGTGGGAGGAAACTGGAGCACCCAGAGAGAAGCCACCTACTGATTGAGTGAATGGGGAAGATGATTGCTTTTGAGGGTGGGAGCTTGGATGAGTGATTGGGGAAGGTGGATAGGTGTTAGAGAGACTGGAGGGGTTAGTGAGTGGAAAGGGTGGGAGAGTGAATTGCTGGGAGTTGTGGGTGGATAGGTGTGTGAGAGAAACTGGGGAGGTTGGTGGGTGAGTGAGTGACTGGATAGTTGATTGTGTTGGATTGTGCTGGATGCACCCACCTTTCCACTCCTCCTCCTCCTCCTCCTCCGGCCACATGTTCCCAAGCTCTGAGTGTGCTCCACCAGAGGTGAATGAAGATCAGTGTTAGTTAAAATCAGCTCCATTGTCATTCACATTCACTTGTGGTTGGAACTTGAGGTCTAGTCATTTTCTCTCTTCGCTCTTTTCTCTTTATCATAAACGGAGAAAAAGGTTTTAGTTAGTCCTGCTGCTTAGCATTTTTGAATGGTCATTTTATTAATTACACATCTAAATTGTTGATTTTTTGCTTTGGGATTTTTCTTTTCTGAAATACATATACTGTTGTGGCAAATCTTATGTTTCTGAAATTTGCTTAGCAGTCCTCCAGGTGAGAGAAAAGTTAAATTGGTTTCCCCACCCACCCTTCAACCCCTGCAACAGCTTGTCAAAAATCTTGGACAAACCACTTCTTTCAGATGACCTACTTCTAGAAGACATATTTGGTGGTGTGCTATGTAAACAGAAAAACGGAAGCTGCTTTCATTAAGACAATTTTTTCATTTTACTTGTGTCTTAAGCATTGCTTCATTACTCGGGATATAAAAGCTCAGAACTCCTGGAGTCTGTGTCATGTCCATTAAATTAAATGTGCTGATGAAAGCTTTACTTCAACTTTGCAGACTTACTGCATTACCAAATATTGAACATGTAAGGGTCCAGTCTCACTAAGTGAAAGTGAAGGCTTACTTATGGGAATAGTCGTTGACATACATAAAGAGCATTGTGTCAGGAAAGACGTAGCAATGGAACTTGCTTTTCTTTGATAAAGTTCATCATCATCATAGATGAACTTTATCAAAGAAAAGCAAGTTCCATTGCTACCTCTTCCCTGACACAATGCTCTTTACGCATTTCCACAAACAATTCTTGCTTTGGGTAAATAATCTTGAATAGCAATCTTTAGTTAGATGAGGTGGTTTCAGGATTTCTTGATCTGCAAGGTATTAATTAACTGGGTGGGTATATATCACAATAAAAAAGTGAGTAGAAAGACAAAGATATGAATAAGCTTGTAATTGTGTTATGTATTTTGATGTGAATATTTATGTTTTACAGAAATTATTTATTCTGTGATCAACTTAAAGCACATGTTTAAATTTTGAAACTCATAAGCAGAATGCATTGACTTTTTTTTCAAGATGCAGGTGTCTTATAGACAATTCTCTATGCTCATTAACGTAGGGGAGGTGATGGCCTGGTGGCATTGTCGCTGGACTATTAATCCAGAGACCCAGATAGTGTTCTGGGGACCTGTGTTCAAATCCTGCCATGGAAGATGGTGGAATTGGAATTCAATTAATATCTGGAATTAAGAATTAAGGGACTATGAATCCATTGTTGATAATTGGAAAAACCCATCTGGTTCACTAATGTCCTCTAGTGAAAGAAACTGCCATCCTTTCTTGGTCTGGCCTACATGTGACTCCACACCCACAGCAATGTGGTTGACTTTTACCTGCCCTCTGGGCAATTAGGAATGGGCAATAAGTGCTGCCTAGCCAACAACACCCTCATCCCATGATTGAATAAAGAAGAAAAAAATAAAAAGGTGTTTCCACTAGTGGGGGGATCTCGAACTTAGTTACAGAATAACAGTACACTCATTTTAAACTGAGATACAAAGGAATTTGCTCTCCCATGAATAGTGAATGTTTGGGATTCTCCGTTGAAAAGAATTGTGGAGACATTTATATAAATCACTGAAAGTACTTAAATTTGAGATAACTTTTTGAAATATCTGGGACTCAGTGACTCATCTGAGCTGACATGAAAGATGATTGAGGCCTCTGGCAGATCGACCATGATTTCACTGAATGGCAGGTAGGCTTGAGGGGCCAAATGGCCTACTCCTGCTCCTATGTCTTTTGCTGTTATATAATTTTTAGGGGTGGCACGGTGGCTCAGTGGTTAGCACTGCTGTCTCTCAGCACCAGGGACCTGGGTTCGATTCCGACTGTCTGTGTGGAGTTAGCACATTCTCCCTGTGTTTGCGTGGGTTTCCTCCGGGTGCTCCGGTTTCCTCCCACAGACCAAAGATGTGCAGGCTAGGTGGATTGGCCATGCTAAATTGCCTGTAGCGTTCAGGATGTGTAGTTTAGGTGGATGGGTCTGAGTGGGATGTTCTGACGGTCGGTGTGGACTTGTTGGGCCGAAGGCCTGTTTCCACACTGTAGGAATTCTATGAGTATAAGTCATGCTTTTCATTCAGGAGGACTGTGTTCCTTCTGATGGATCATGCAGCCATTTCTGTTGATTGTTCTAATTGCTCAAATCAAGCAATGACCCCAGTCTTCCATTCAGCTTTACCACCACTCACTGTTTTCAAAATTTCACTCTCCACCCTTCAGGTTGCAACAACACACTTGCTCGTTAATAAACATTTCTAGCATTAAATCTAAGTATTCCATCTGTGTAATGATTATTTATTTTCTTTCACTGAGAACTTCCTATCAAGTCATTTATTTTTCTTTCTAATATTATCCTAATGACAAATAAAATGTGAATGATTTTCTATTTTTTACATGCAAATTGTAACTTAAGGTAATTTTTAAGGGAAGTTCATTTGAAACTATATACTTAACAGTATTATTGTTTGCTTTTAGACTTGAACCTGTTGCCTTCAGCAGGCTACTTTCACCATATTGCTTCACACTTTGAATGAATCATTTTGTCTGAAGGAGGCAAAAGGCTAAAATCTAAATGTTTTAGTTGCTTTGCACTAATAAAATTTTGGGGTTTTTTTGCAAGTATTCTAACTTCTGTGAATTTTTTCTATTTTGTTGTCTGGTTATCTGTTCAAAAATGGATGTTTACTTTCAGAGTCCTTGTAACAGTGATGGATCTGTGAGTTTCTAATATTCTTTCTAGACTTCAGAATGCCTGTTCTTGTCTTATATTTTCCTTTATTTCATCATTGTTCCATTTTTGCTTCATCCTAATGACATATTAATTTCTGAGTTGGAAATAATTACATAACTGTTTTAAAATATTTTGAAATAGTTGTTGATGGTACCTGTAGAATGTGGTAATACTAATCAGTTGTGTTCACCAACTGAAATGGTGATGTGACCAACTGTACAATTTTTTTGAAGGTAGCTGTGCAAGAATCCCTATGTGCTACAGATTACATTCTATAGTGAACAATGTTGCTCAACGTTTATAGCCCTTCAAAGAGCTAACCAATAAAATGCAAATCAGTTTCCTATCTCTGCTACCTTAGTTAAATGGCAATAAAGTAAAAGGAATTCGAAGATTATTATAGCGTTCCATTATTTTTGTCACAACAAAAAATAGCATGCTAGCATTGGAATCATTTTGAAGACACATTGGTACTTGAGCAGTTTTCAGACTGCTAATTTTCTGATTGAAATTAATGAACAGAATAACTTCTTTCATTTTAATAATCTGAATATCTCATCGTTTGGAAACCCCCTTAACAGTGGTTTGTGATCTTGGTTAATGCCAAGCAGTGTTCCTTTATCTATACAGCAATGCTGCTGATTGGCACCCTGAAACTCAGAAGTTTGCAGTGAGGTTTAAAGCAAATTAGGAAATTGAAACCAAAATTGATTCCAGCAAAAAACGTTTGATATACCAACCAAGCTGGCATGTGGTTAATACACATGTTTTTGGACAAATACACCATGTCCTCATGTTCACTTCATATACTGATCACTAAAGCTGATTTCACTGTATACTAGTTGTATGGCTTTCATAAAACTGAAAAGATATTGAAAATGAATTCTTATACTTGATTTCAGTTGAGAAAGTCTTATAAATATTTATAATATCAAATCATACTGTGGCCTGGATTTTCATTAGAAATAATAGTGAGGCTATAAAAATGTCTGAGCCAGTACAAGTGCTAATGCACTTTGTTTCCACTGACCTCAATATCCAGAATGTTTAGGCCTTAAATTTCACTCTGTCAGCCCGTATAAATAAGGAAGTGTGAATTACTTGAAAACCATTCTGGTGCATTGTTTATATGTCTATTGGTTCTTCTGAGCAAGCTTAAATTTAAGAACGTCTTCTTTTAACATTTTATTGCACTTGTTTTCTAACAAATAGTTTCAAACTGAAACATTAATTTGCCTGGTTGACTTGCATTCGGTGTATGAGGTAATTTTAGCATGGAGCCCTGCCTTACTTTGCTTGTCATCATCTGCAGTGCATGTAACCTTTACAAGTGACATTTCACTCTACTAATGAAAAGCAGAAAATACTCTAATCTGCAAAGGCGTTGCGATTGGAAAGCTGCTGATTGTTTTCTTCCAAATTTATTCATAGCTGCTGCATGTGTTGCTGGTTCATTAATATCAAAACAATCCATTTAAACAATGTTCTTTACATTCCTTTCAAAACAGGCATCATCTATGCTGAGAGCATCCGTTGTTCCTGCTATGTAAGTGATATAAATAATTTGAAAGTTTCAAGTTTGTATCTTTTCTTATATTCAGGCATCCCAGTGGTGCTGTTTAAGTGCAGTTCTCTGATGTTGCCTGGCTTACTGTGTTCCTCCGGCTCTACAGTGACTCTAGCATCTGCAGTTGTTACTATCTCCAGATATGAAGTGCTGTTTTTGCTATTTATAGTCACGTCCATACAACTTAGGTGTGCCTGTACTTTTCTGTAGTTGTAATGCACTATATTTACTGAAGCAATAAAACATTAATGACTCAGTTACACCATTTACATAACTATGGAAACTGAAGTTACAAATTTACCTGTTCCCTTACAAAGGTTGCTTAAGGTCATAGTTGATTTTTCTACTCCAAAACCTTATTTTCAGTTATTTGTAGCATTTGTTCTCTGTGTTCGACTCTGGTTTGCAGTATTTGCTCATGTACAAAGACTTCATTTCTTATCTTTCACTTCTGTTTTCAGTGATTTTTTTTCTTACGATTGTAAAACATATTTTCTTCACTTCCATTACTTCACACAGTTACTTGCTGTAGCTGTTGGTGATGTTCTTCTTGAGAGCTGTTCTCTTCTTTGGTTGGCACGGAGGTTCAGTAGTTAGCACTGCTGCCTCACGGCGCCAGGGTCTCTTGGGTGACTGTTGGTGTGGAGTTTGCACATTCTCCTGGACAAAGCGGAAGAATTATTGGCTTTTGTCACACTAGATGGATGTTATTAGTGCAAAGTAATTTGCATTTGGAATGAAAAATGCACAGCAACATTCCAATGATTAACCACTCAAATTATTAAAGGACTACATCTAAATCAGTAACTTGATTATTTGTAGCCAAACCTGGGAAGAACATTTACACCACTTGATTGAACTGTTTATTCAGCTATAAAAAGCCATTTGGTTATAAATCTGGCTAAAAGTGAATTTCCCAAGGTAAAGGTGGCTAAATATCCACAGGCAGCAGGTAAAGGTTAAAGCAGAGGCCAGGTTTTGGCGCAATATTCCAGCAAGAAGGATTAATGATTGCCGATTTTAGGTCTCACTCCCCAAATGTGGGTGTTCTAGTGCTGTGATTTAAGCACGCCACAGACAGCCTCAAGCTTCTTCCCAGAAGCGTCGGCGAAGGACCCCAACGACTGACAGCAGTTTCTGGAGGAGCATTGGATGGGAAACAGGAGGTACAGAACTGATGCACCCCCAGGCCCATAGCTCCAGCTTGACATGGCAGTTGCAATTGTGGCAGCAGCGGAGGCCTGTTACAGACAGAGCAGAGCCTATTTCAGAGACTCCGGCCGATGTCAAGCAGGGACTGGAGGAGCAATGGAGGAGGAACAAGAAGAAAGAAAGCTGAACTCTATTGTAGTAAAATCTTGCATGATATTCAGCGTTTCAAGATGGCACTTTGTGTCTAACACGTGAAAAAACACTTTTCACTGTATTTTTATGTACATGTGACTGTAAATCTAAATCTATTAGGGCCACACTGTGGTACAAGGCCATGTAGCACTGAGAGAGGTGAAAGTATGGGCTATTTTAGATTTTCCCAAGCTTTAGGTGAAACATGAAATTTTTGAGTTATGTTGGCATGAGTGGATTTTGTTGTTTTAGGTTAAGTGAGTGGGCAAGGGTCTGGCAGATGGAGTACAATGTTAGTAAATGTGAGGTCATCCATTTTGGTAGGAATCACAGCAAAATGGACTAATACTTAACTGGTGAAAAATTGCAGCATGCTGCTTTGCAGAGGGACCTGGTGTCCTTATGCATAAATCACAAAAGGTTTGTTTGCAGCAGGTAATTAAGTCAAATTGAATATTGCCCTTCATTGCTAGAGGGATAGAGTTTAAAAATAAGGTGGTTATGCTGCAGCTGTTTAGAGTACTGATTAGGCCACACCTGGAGTATTATCTATAGTTTTAGTCTCCTTCCTTGAGAAAGCCCATACCGGCACTGGAAGGGATGCAGAGGAGGTTCACTAGTTTGATTCTGGAATTGAGAGGGTTGGCTCATGAGGAGAGATTGAGTAGGTTGGGTCAACACTTATTGGAATTTAGAAGAATGAGGGGGGCTCTTATAGAAACGTATAAAATTATGGAGAGAATAGATAAGATAGAAGCAGGGAGGTTGTTTCCACTGGCAGGTGAAACTAGAACTACAGGGCATAGTCTCAAAACAAGGGGGAGCAGAATAGGGATTGAGTTGAGGAGGAACTTCTTCAACCAAAGGGTTGTGAATCTGTGTAATTCCCTGCTGTGAAGCAGTTGAGTCTTCCTCGTTGAATGTTTTTAAGGCAAAGATAGATAGGTTTTGAACAGTAAAGGAAATAAGGTAATGGTGAGTGGGCAGGTAAGCAGAGCTAAGTCCACAAAAAGATCAGCCATGATCTTATTGAATGGTGGAGCAGGCTCAATTGGCCAGATGGCCTACTCCTGCTCTTATTTCTTATGTTTTTATGTTTGTTTCAAGTTTCAACACCATGGTTACGTTTTTAATCAACTTGTTCAAAAAGGCAGATAATTTGAAAGGATGTAAAAGTGTCAAAGTGCCTTTGAAAACTTAAAAGCTGTACTGACAACCACTCTGGTTTTAGCTATGACTAGTTATGAGAATCCATTCAAAGCGGCTGTTGATGCAAACAACATTTGTGTAGGCACTGTTTTACTGCAGGATGATGAGATGGGAATCCAACAGCCTGTTAGTTATTTTTAGAAAAACTAACCATGTCAACGAAAATGTTCAAGAATTGGAAGAGACGTTGAGTCTTGTATTGGTTCTACATCATTTTGATACAGATGTTAGCAACATTGTGAACAAAGTTGTTATTTATACAGACCACAATCTTTTGATTTTCTTGGAAAAATTTCAGGACAAGAATTCGGAATTGTTTCACAGAGCTTAATTCTCTAACCATAGAAATTGACAGTTGTTTGTGTGTATGAAGTTGAAAATGTTACAATGTACGTGTTGTTGAGAGTACCTTTGAAGGTATTGAGTTTGTGTAATGTCAGCATAAGTGGTGTAAAGGTAACTTTTTTGTCTTAAAGATACAGCTAAATTGCTCTTTGTAGAGAAGGTGCTGTAAGAGTGTGTGAATGCTTTTCTTTTAGTGAGAGACCACTTAGCTAAGATAAAGAAAAACCAAATATGACCTCCCAAGGCTGTTTTCAGTCTGCGGTCTGACTTGTTAGTGATAACATCATCTTTGTTTATAACAATATGGTGCTCAGAAAAATAAAATTGCAATTACAAATGAAACAACCTCAGTGGAACTACTCAGTACTGTGAACAATGAACCGGCCTCACTCTGAATTAATTCAATGAAGTGCTACCCTGTGGCCTTGGTTGAGGTGAGGGCAGTGCTTTTATCTCTTGTCTCCGGATGTGGCTGCAATGCATATGGTGATTGTCTTCATCATGCCCAAAGGCTGCTGCACTTGTGTTGTTGTAGGCATAGTCTCTGGTGGTAGTCCTGTTACACAGATAATCCCTCTGTTACGGGAGACAAGGAGACCCAATGATCTTGACAGTGTCCATAACGGCTGGAACCATCATCCACTGTGGTGATTGGCTTGCCCTTGGTGTAACTGACATGCCTTCTCAACATCTCACCGCTGATAACCTCGACCGTAGGCTGTATGTATTGTGGCATGCATTTTGTAAAAGCCAGTAAGCAGTTCTTGTTTGCGCTCCAGATTGCATTGTGTCGTCTGGCTCTGCATGAAATTAGCCCTTTTTCATGTAGGCAAACCTTTTTTCCACGTTGGTGCGCACATGCTGAATTAATTTTCTAATTCACAGTTGATGATTGCTTACTACCTCAAAGGACTCATAAAACATGCGAGAGTATAGCTATTGCTGCTGAGCAGTTGTGTATCTAACGTTGTGTGAAGGGCACTTCACACAGCTATCCCTGTCTCTCTCATCTTTCCCTGCACACCCATGACATGCTCATCAACCAGTTCTAGCCAATCTTTATGCCTGCAGAGTTCTCTCAAGGTGGCTATATCTGTGCAGGTGGAGGTTCTCTTGCTTTAAGGTATCCTCTGACAGTACTTGGCTTGTTGCAGATATGATGGTCTGTCCTGACTCAATGTTTTAAGCTGTGGGTGACACAAAGAATGATCATGAGAACTAGAACCGTTAAAATGGAAGTCTCTGTGGCTTCCTAGTGCATCAGATAGACTGGCATCTACTAACTTGTCAATCTATAAGTTCTACTTTCCATTCTTTCTCCCCTCCAGGAATGCCCATCTCACATTTTCCAACTTACTTGTAGTAAACCACTGGTGTCCAGCTCTTTCAACTGGGCCTTTTTGAGAGTCCCTTTTTCCTGCAAGGACAAATGAGACTGAGTTAGGACACTGCTGGCATCTGTAGACAGTCCCCATGAGTCATTGACGTGAAAAGCTGCAATATCAGTACTGACAAGTTCTCAACAGTGCTATGGTCCTGAGCTTTCCTGAGGGGTTAACTATGTACATTTGGCAAGATTTCTCCCACATTCAGGAGCAGCATACATCCCTTAGCTTCTTCAGCTGGAATTTCTGGTGATATTTGAAACTCAGGCCCGTCCTCCCTGTCTGGCATTCCACTCACCTTGATAGAACAGACTATTCAACTTTTTCCTGCACTGGTTCCAGTTGCTCCAGACTAAACTCTATAAAGTCATGGTCCCCACGACATGAGTGCATGTCAACTTGGGAGTCTGGCCTTCTCCTACCACCATCCAGAAAGAATGTATCCCACCTCACTGCTTTCAGACAGACTTTCAGGTTGGCAAAACCAAAGTGATGGATAGGTCCTAGTTTTCTGATGTAACAGTTTACTTTATGCCATTTCCCCACCTTCTTTCTGTTATACTGCATGTTTTTCCGGTTCCCTCTTGTGTGTCCAAATTGAATCTACGAAACCCTTGGGTTGTGTATTTCAAATTCTAGTCACTTGCTGCCTGAAAAAGTTGTTCCTCATGTTGTCATTGCTTCTTTTGTCCAATT